GAGGAATGCGGTGTTGGTAACGTCTTTTTTTTTTTTTTTTTTTTTTTTTTTTTGAAAAAAAAATCAAAGGATAGATCAAAAAAAAAAAAAAAAATCCTTGTGGGCAAATTGAAATAACACATTTCTTTTTTTTTTTTTTTTTTTTTTTTAAATAGGCGTTGTTGTGACCAAGGAGGATGTAGTCAAGGCTGTGAACGAATATACAGAGACTGTCAAGGACAAGTTGATCAAGGATCGTTACAAGTTCTTTGGCATGTTCTTCGCTGGTGCCAAAAACATCCCAAGTTTGAAATGGGCAAACGGAGGAGATATCAAAGAGGCTGTGGACGCAAAGATGTTGGAAGTTCTCGGCCCAAAGGATGAGCGCGATGTTGTTGTCAAGAAGGTACATCCAATTGACCCCTTGGGGAGATTTAGGAGTCTTTTTTTTTTTTTTTTTTTTTTCTTTCTTTCTTTCTTCAAATTATGTTCTCGACAACAATGGAACAATGCGACAGTTACAGACAGGAGTTTTATAAACATGTGTACAGGAACAATTGGAGCCAATGAGCCCACAAACAAAAAAAAAAAAAAAATTTCTATCCACGAGGACGTTTTTTCCCGATAAACGTCATGTCTCAACAAACCAGAGATATGCTTTTTATTTTTATTTTTATTGATTTACAACTCACGCTGACAGATAAAAACACCTTGTCTTTTTTATTCCTGTCTCCCTACCTATCATTTTATCTATTTATCTTTCTTTAGAAAAAAGAGGCAAAGCCCGAGGTCAAGAAGGAGAAGGTTGAGGAGACTGCCTCCTCCTCAGTCTTGACTGTCCCTGATATGTTCTTTGAGGGTGAACTCGCAAAGCTGCACAAGCCCGGTGGCAATCCCCAGATCAAGCCCGAGCTGATGGAGGAGCATTTGAAGGCAACAGGTGGCAAATACGTCACACGTTTCCCTCCAGAGCCCAACGGTTTCTTACACATCGGACACGCCAAGGCCATCAACATCAACTTTGGTCTCGCCAAGGCCCATAACGGCATCTGCAACCTTCGCTACGATGACACTAATCCCGAAGCAGAAGAGGAACGGTACTTTGTCTCTATTTTGGAAATCGTCAAATGGCTCGGATTCACTCCCAGTGAAATCACCTATTCTTCCACACACTTCCAGCGCCTGTATGATCTAGCTGTTGAGTTGATCAAGAAGGACAAGGCCTATGTGTGCCATGTACGTATAAGAAAAAAAATAAGCTGAGGCTATGATGATATTGCAAGCGACAAGTTTCTTTTTTTTTTTTTTCTCTCTCTCTCTCTGTCTCTCTTTCAGACTCGACCATTTAATTAAGCTAACTTTGATCTTGAACTATTTTTACAAATACATAGTGTACAGCAGAAGAAATTCAGATGCATCGTGGAGGACCTGAGCGAGGACCTCGCACTGCCTGTGTTCACCGCAACAGACCTATTGAAGAGTCTGTAAAGCTGTTTGAGAAGATGAAGAATGGTGGGTTTGAGGAGGGCGAGGCTATTTTGCGCATGAAGATGGATCTGGAGAATGGAAATCCTCAGTTCTGGGACTTGGTCGCATACAGAGTCTTGAAGACACCCCATCACAGGACTGGCTCGGAATGGATCATCTACCCCACTTACGATTACACCCATTGTCTTGTTGATTCGTTTGAGAACATTACCCATTCACTCTGCACAGTGGAGTTCACTCAGTCCCGTCCCTCTTACTACTGGCTTTGCGATGCCCTTGAGGTTTATAAGCCTGTTCAGTGGGAGTATGGCCGTTTGAATGTGACCAACACGATCCTTTCGAAGCGCAAGATTGCAGAGCTGGTCAAGAGAGGACATGTCTTTGACTGGGATGACCCCAGATTGTACACCCTTCCAGCCATCCGTCGTCGTGGAGTCCCACCTCAGGCCATCAACAACTTTATCCACACCTTGGGAGTGACAAAGTCCGACACTGTTATTGAGGCCACCAAGCTGGATGCGTTTATCCGTGATTACTTGAATGAGACTGCGCCCCGGTTGATGGGTGTGTTCAACCCGATCAAGATTGTGATTGAGAACTTGCCCGAGGGTCATTTGGAGATGTTGACGGTCCAGAACAAGCCTAGGGATCCCTCAATGGGCGAGCATACGATCCCATTCACACGAGAGGTCTGGATTGATGGTTCTGATTTCAGAGAAGTGGATGACAAGGACTTTTTCCGTTTGGCGCCAGGCAAGACTGTGGGATTGCTTAATGTCTCTTGCCCGATCACCTGCACGAAGGTGATGAAGGATGATTCAGGAAAGGTGGTTGAGCTCAGGGCTCGTTATGAGGATGCTCCGGGATTCAAGAGACCAAAGACCTATATCCAGTGGGTGGCAGAGAGTCCTGAGCATGGGTCACCTGTCCGATTGGCAGAGGTGCGTTTGTTCGATAAGCTCTTTAACCATGCGAACCCTCAGGATAAGCGGGAGGTACCTGGTGGGTACTTGAGTGATATCAATGCTGAGAGTTTGAAGGTTGAGAAGGGAGCGTTGGTTGAGATTGGGCTGTGGGACGTTATGGAGCGTTGGACCAAGACGAGCGAGAGCAAGACGGATTATGAGGCGATGCGCTTCCAGTTGACGCGGATTGGATACTTTTGTTTGGATAGGGAATCTGATCTGGGTGAATTTACAAAACCAGAAATCTCGATCAAGGACACAGCCACGAAGATTGTACTCAACCGAACTGTTCCCTTGCAGGTTAGCAGTACGCTCAAGAAGCAGGAGTAGGAAGGATCATTTTATAAAAAAAAAAAAAAAAAAAAAAAAAGAAAAGAAAAGTGTTGGAAAAACACGACTTTGTTTAAAATATAAAAAGAAAGAATAATACAAATTTGCATCCATTGACTATAGCAGTAGTAAAAAATAAGAATAAAAATAAGAATAAAAATAAGAATAAAAATAAAACTGAGGAAAGAGGGCTCCAATGCTCTTTCAATCTTTTTTTTTTTTTTTTTTTTTTTGTTTGTTTGTTCGTTGTGTGGCAAAACGAATCGGTTGGAGGGAAGGCCAATGCACGACGCACAGGGATCTTGATCGTGTCCCATCGTCTAAATATCCTAGCTATCCTAACTATTTAAAATCAAAGATCGTAAATATCCTAAATCCAAAATGTCCCAAATGTTACCAAAGCCCCAATCGTTGGCCCTGGAAGACCTCTCAGAAACCATGCATAGTCTGTTATTTCCCGTGTTGCATTTTTTTTTTTTTTTTTTTTTTTTTTTTTTTTCCAAATCAATGGAATGGAAGCCAACATTCGCATTAAGGATAGGGAGCAAGAAAAGAGATAAAAAAAAAAAAAAAAAAAAAAATGCGGAAATTATGATCAAGCAAATAAGAAATAAAAATAAAAAATAAAAAAAAAGCTTAAATCAATGTTGGTGATGAGTTTTTACATAATGTTTGTTGAATATACCAGATTACACATTGGTGGGAACAGTAAAGAAGCAGCAAAAAATAACGATTGAGTCAAGTTGGAGTCGTAGTAAAAAAAAAAACCCCCCGACAATGTCAACATCATCTACTTCTTCATCTTTATCTTTATTTTATATGTTTATGATTATTAACTGTTGCTGTTGCTGTTGTCCTTTTGATTGTTATTGTATTTATACTATTTGCTACTCTTATCATAGACCCCAGCTAAGGGACGAACCAATGGCCTCTGCGACTGCGACTGCGACTGCGACTGCGACTGCGAATATACGAATAATATATAATAAAAATGATCATGACAAATGTTAAAAGAAGTGGAGTGGATGCTGAGGTTTAAAAAAAAAGAATAGAAAAAAAAAAAAAAAAACAAAAAGAGGTTGGATACAGGAGCTGAGAGAAACCCAAGATCAAAAGCAATGCAGTTACTTAAAGTCGTAACAATGTGTTGTAGGACAAGCCATCTATCAGTTACAAAGCTATTCCAATTGGGGGCAACTGGGACAACAACAAGGTCAACAAAAGGACTAGAAACGACAATAACCATTTGGACGAATAGGAAAAAAAAAAAAAAAAAAAAAAAACGCGCATCTTCAACAAGGTCACACTCATCTTGGATATATACGAGATATGCTATGCTCTATGCTCTATGCTCTATGCTATATGCTATATGCTATTACATCTTATTCCATAAAGATCATGGGTCTAGACTCTGAGGAGAAAGTGGGGTGATGTTTATAATACCGTTCTATTCGAAACCATAATGGGGGGGGGTGGGCACCGCATTGGTCCGATCTATTGGATTGGAAGGAAAAAGGATGAGTAAAAGAGGGAGAGAGAACATCCGTTCGATTTTACAATCTTTGTAATTTACTACCTGACTAGTTTACTAGTTTACCCCACCCACATTTTCTATCCACTCCATTCCATTCTACTCCACTCCACTCCAACTCCAACTCCAATCCACCTTCAATCCACTTTTCATCCACTCCACTCAACTGAATCAAACCTCTAGACCAGTTGACAGTTTTTCCATCATTTTTATATATATATATTTTTCCCTTTTTCTCCTTAGCATCAACGGGAGGAAGGCTCTTCTTTAGCGCGTAATTTTTTTTATATTTTGCTTTCAGATCTTACACTATGGAAAAGGGAGAAATCATTTCGTGTCGTTAGTAAAAAAAATAAAAAAAAAAGAAAAGAAAAGAAAAAAGAAAAAAGAGAGAGATGAACAGGGCTAGAAAAAAAAAAAAAAAAAATTGTTTGGTTAGCAATGTGGAGAGAGAGAGAGAGAGAGAGTAATAAATAAATAAATAAGTAATAGATAAACAAATAAACGTTTATCGATGTAGTACAAGTTTGGTAAAACAATGCGTTCGACAGATCAGTCAGAGCCAAAATGTGAACCAACATTGGATTGACTGACTGACATTTAGCCCAAGCTGAATGTACTTTTTTACTGCTTTGGTTCTAAAGGTAATACCAATGCTTAAATAATACATATATAACATAACATATTATATATAATATAACATAACATAACATAATATAATATAAATAAATAAATAAATAAAAGAAAAAGAAACATTTTTGCATGAATCGCTCGGTTGAATGATTCATTATTGTTCAGAAATGGATTGGGTTGTTTTGTCGAATAAATATACATATACATTTGTTAATAAACATGGATGAGAATAAAAGAAATAATAAAAAGAGTAATCATGTCGTTAAATGATCATAGATAATGATCTCCTTTTTGGACCCTGTCCTTCTGTACTGCCAAAGAAGTATAAACCTTTTTTTCTTTTTTTTTTTTTCTTTTGTCATACATGAAATACATGAAAGAGAATCAAAAAAGAATCAACGAATCGGAAATTCTTTGTGTATGGATGTACACTCCTATATATTTATAAATATGTATCATAGACTTCTTATAGGACACTATAACATGTTAACCAGTTTAGATCAGACCCAGACCCAGACCCAGACCCAGACCCAGACTCAGACCCAGATATGGATGGACCAGATTTCATCACACCTTTTTTTCACTTGCTTGCAGTATATGAACACGTTGATGTTGATTGTTGATAAAGAAAAGGAAAGAAAAAGAAAAAGAAAAAGAGAGTCCCTTGATGATGATGAAAAAGTAGATTATCCATCTAATCCTGTTTCAACCGAGTCGAATTGGATTGAATCATATCGAATCGGATGAAGTGAACTCGGGAATTTCCTCCTCTCCTCTCCTTTTCACATTCACATTTCAAGAGCAGTCATTTCAAGACAAAGTCAAGGACCATCTCTAAACGTCTCTTCTCTTTCCTCTCTTTTCACAATCATTTGCGCCCTGAGTTTGGTTTGCGGACAATTAAATCACGATAAGATTACTTATTATTACTCCATAACACATCCATCACATGGTTTACACATTTACATATGTATATTATATGTAACATATATGTGTCATTTTAGAATATAGTTATAACCATATAACTTGTACAGTGTATATATACACACATGTAATGTAATACTGTAGCCCACATGTTTTTCTGGTTCCGATCACGCCTGTCTTTTGAGTTTTGCTCGATCGTGTATCGTATATATCGTTTCTTTGGCTACTTTACCTTTATTTCGGGGAAACAAATACATATTTAAAGTAAAAAATAAAAATAAAAAATAAAAAGTAAAAAATATATTAATAATAAAGAATGTCGTGCAGACAGTCTGAAGGAATAAGAAAAAAAAAAAAAGGTTTATTCCCATAGGATAACCTTTCCCTAATGGGATGGTATATATATATATATATACATATATACGTGTAACAAATGTATGACAAAGGTGGGTACAGCTTGTAAGAGCTCTGTATATACCGTGTAATATAGTGGATCCAGTAATATATTCGTATTTATAATAGGATCTTCGTTTCGTTTTAAGAAAAGAAAAGAAAAGAAAAGAAAAGGAAAAAAAAGAAAAAAGCGGCTGATTTATTGTAAATGTCGAATGCCCTATTTGTTTCCCGTAGGGTTCAAGACAGTATTCTGCTGGTTTCACCACTTTGACTTATTTTGGTCCGTCCGGGATTAATTGCAAATAAAATATTAAAATTAAAGGTGGATCAGATCAACAAACAAGTTCCGTCAATTCGGGGGGTTGAGGGTGAGTTTACTGATTCAAATCCCAAAGACAGATCAGACCGTCTTTTTTTTATTTTTAATTTTTTATTTCTTATTCTCGTTTTTATTTTTTATTTCAACTTTTTTTTTTTATTTATTTTTACCTTTGTTTGTTGTTGTTGATATTGATGTTATTGTTGATTATTATTAGGTCAGCCACCTTGTCTCTCTTTCTCTCTTTCTTTCTCTCTCTCTCTCTTTCTCTCTCTCTCTCTCCTCTCTGCGTGTAACAGATACACAGAAAGGATAGACAGAGTCATTGAAACAGTAAAACAGCCGTGGCTGCATGTGCTGTGGGTGAAAAAAGTTCTTACCCCTTTTTTTTTTGTTTGCGTGTATGTGTATGTATATATATACAAATATGATATTTAGATGTAGTGTGATAACAATGGTCAGAAACTGCTATACAGATGGCTCTCTTTCTTTTCTCTCTTCCCATTCCCATCCATAACTCTATCTCTCAAACACTCTTAGAGTGCATTTCATTGCATCGCGCGCAAAGTGTTTATTCTCAATCATACTTGCCTACAGTATGCATTTTTTTTTTTTTTACCCTTTTTTTTTTTTTTTTTTCTTTTTTTTTCTTTTTCTTTTTAAATCATTGTAAACATACGGATTTAGTTGGCGTTGCTGTTTTGACAACACCAAAGGTTTTTTTTTTTTTTGCTTGTTTATGTTTGCCTAATCCTTCCCATTGTTTTTTCCCCAAGGCTGGGGAAAGGAAAAGGAGATTGTTGTTTAAACATTTCCCTCTACCCCTACCATTACCTTTTCCCATTAAAAAAAAAAAAAAAAAAAAAAAAAAACTGTGAAAACAGGAAAGTGGAAATAAAAAAAAATAAAAAACAACATTTATGATTACTCCATGACTATGGTAAAGTATATATACATTTATATGGAGAAACTAAAGAGTGTGCGCCGCACTTTTTTTTTTTTCTTTTTTTTTTTTTTTTTGGTATATTTTTATTTTTATTTTGAATAAATTTATTTATTTTGATTTATTTTATTATATTGAATCAAGATCTCGATCTTTTATTTATATATTTATATATACTTATTTTATTTTATTTCATTTACTTCCTTATTTATTCAAGACTTGTCATAAAGACGAAAAAATAAAGCAGACAAAGACAAAGACATAAACAAAGATGGGGCAATGACGATGACAAGAAGGAAAATAAAAAAAAAAATAAAAAAAAGGGGCGGGAGAAACAGAGTTGCAATAAGCATCAACAGCAAATAGATAATAATGGGATAATGGGATAATGGGACACAATCTAGGGAGAGAGAAAGAGGAAAAAGCAGAAAAGCAGGAAAAAGCAGATGGATGGATGGATGAATGGATGGATGGGAAATGGAAATAAAGACTCAACAATCATTATCAATCAATCTACTTTCTTCCTTTGGTCCTTTCATTCCTTCGTACCCGTCCCCCTTTTTTTTTTTTTTTTCCTTTTTACTTTTATTATCTATGGTTGCCTTTGATTATGAATGAAACGCCTTGGAGTAAAAAGATGTCATCATTGACCCTATTGTTTTCCTTATCGACGCCTTTTTTTTTTTTTTTTTTTAGCTATTATGATGGTTATTATTTTGAACACATGGATTACATGTGTCACGATGGCTATCAACCATGAATGGAGGTGGCATGGATATCGACGCCGTGCCGTGCCGTGCCATGCCATGCCATGCCATGCCATGCCATGCTATGCCCATGGGCTGTGATGTGTTATGCAAAAAAAAAAAAAAAAAAAAAAAAAACAATTAGACCAAAAAAACTTCAAAGTGTTGAATGCAAGTGATACAAACAAAAAAGCAAAGAGCATTCATTCAGTTCAAGGAGATTTCAATTGTTTAAATGCAATGCAGAGAGGACATGGTTCGACTGAATACAAATCAATTCTTTCCATACCAATGAATGTGCTCGATATCGAATAAATATTTTGCAGCCCTCTTTTTTTTTTTTCTTCTCATTATTATTACTATTATTATTATTACTATTATATTTATAATACCCATAAAAGTTATTTTACATATATATATAAATACAAATCTATACATGTATGTATATGTTACTCATGTGTGTAGTCCATGCTGCTTTGCTTTGCTTTTGCTTTGATGCTTTGTTGCATCGTTGTTTTGCTGAGCTATTCATTGGTAATGATGAAAGTGATTGTATACACAACCTCTCTGGTCTGGTCTGGTCTGGTCTGGTCTGAATAGGATTAAGATCGACCTCAAATAAAATAAAAAATAAAAAAAATAAAAAAAAAGAAAAAGGAGAAATAACATTCAATTGATTCTGTATTGAATAAACTAGATGGTTGAAGACGAATCGATATGTTTTTCTCAGTCTTCCTATTACTTTGCTACAAACATCCACTCTCTTCATCATCTTTTCCATTTTTTCCTTTTCCCCCCTATCATCCCTCCATCGGTTTTTTTATTTCTTCACCCTTTTTTTTTTTTTTTATTTTTTTTTTTATTTCTTTCTTTTCCATTTCTTTTTCTTCTCTTTTCCCTTTCTGTTCTGTGTCACCTTCACTCACACTCTTTTCTTTTTTGCACACTTACACCTGCACACCTCAGTCTTATTCTCACTCTCATCTTTTTACTCTTTTCTTTACTTTTCCTTCCTCTCCCTTTTCTCTTTCTCATAACCACTTTCTTCTTTTTCTTTTTCTTCTTTTTCTTTTTTCTTCTTCTTCTTCTTCTCTCTCCTTTTGCTCATTCCTCTCATTCACTTCATTCTCCATTCCATCCTCTCCACTTCGCCTCCCTTGGAATCATTAAAAACATTGACAGAAATATAAACAAAACGTTTTTTTTTTTTTATTCCTGTGCTACTTACTTTACAAAGTTCCTTTTAGTTAAAACGCACCCCAAAATTTATCCTGTCTTCTGAATCATGACCTCACCCAAGGTGGCCATGGCCGCCATGTCTTTCTCACATACCCCTACCTCTTCTAGCAGACACGTCTCTTTCCAACACACTCACTCCCGTCATCTGCCTCTTCCTCCTCCGGCTGCTACCATGGCTTCCACATCCTCTTCCTTTCACTCGGCATCATCGACCCATTCTCAATCCTCATCTCCCCCTCCTTCTGCATCCTCCAATTCTCCCCCTCATTCTCCCCATTCCCCCGTTGTACCCGCCCTTCTCTCACGCGTGTATCCAGACTCTCACAGAACCCATCATTATCATTCATCTCGTTGGCAAGGAGAAAAAAGACGTCCTTATCCTCTCCCAGCTTACTATGATCAACCTCATCATCATCATCGCCCTCATCCTCATCCTCATCAGCACCACCAACAACACCATCAGCAACACCATTCATCTGATCGCTATTACCCTCAATCTCATCATCATTACGATCAACAGGAAGAAGACCCTAGATATCGTCAACATCCTTCCTCCCATCCATATGGGGATCGATATGACCATGAACAACCCATCAAGTTCGGCGGCAACAACAATAACAGTTCCAGGGTCTTTTCTAATAGCCATATCATCAACAACACCAATAACACCAGCAACAGCAACAGCAACAACATCACCAAGAATAGCACCTTATCACCAGTTCCCTCATTCACCTCCTCCTCACCTTCCTCAACCGTTTCTCATTATTCCTCGCCTTCACCTAAATCTCAAACGATCTCCCTCCCCCCCTTCGATCGACCCACAAAGAAATCCCGATCTGAACCAGATCCTTCTTTACCTTTGCCCAGATTGCAGATGAGACAGGAACCCATGGAGGGAACAGAAACCAAATCAGAGATTGAACATGTCTTGCCCTCTCCATCTCGTTCCCCCTCCCCTTCCTCCTCTTTATCTTCATCTTCATCTTCATCTTCTTCCCCATCTTCACCCCCATCTTCATCCTCTCCACCGGCTTCAGGCCCACTTGGATCAACAGATTTTGGATCTCGATCTGATTCTATGCCATCCTCTTCATCATCTTCTTCATCTTCTTCCTCTTCTTCCTCTTCATCCTCAAAGACTTTTGAGGCTGCTGCTTCTACTGCTGCTAATGGTACTACTGCTACAAGTACTACTACTGCTACTATTACAAGTACGGTCGGTCCATCCACAGCCACGAACGCACCCACCATAGTACCAACCCCGACGATCACTATTCCTGGTGTTGGATCAGATCCTCCCGTGCTCCCGTACACATGCTCGATCGGCAACTGTACAAAATCCTATTCCACTCACCAGGGTCTTCGACGACACATTCGTGATCACAAGGACACAGATCAGGGTGAACGTTTCCCCTGTACCATCCCCGGTTGTCGCGTCAGTCTGAGGACCAAGCAGAGCCAGGCTGCGCATGTGAGGTTATGTAAACAAAAGAGGGCAGGAGCACTCCATCCATGCCCCGAACCTGGTTGTGGAGCAGCCTATGGCTCGACCGAGAACCTGTCCAGACATCGACTGAAGCATCAACGAGGCCTTGTCGGAGTAAAGTACCCATGTACCTGGGCCGGCTGTGACAAGATCTTGGCGACGCCCAAGAGTCTGAAGGATCATTTACAGATCCATGCAGAAAGGGATGCAGGGATCAAATTGTATTGCCCCGTAGAGGGTTGTAATAAGGTCTTTGGGACCAACCGATGTTTACGAGCTCATGAGCTTCGGTGTAAACAGGTCAAATCTGGCGAACGATTGCCCTGTCCGATTCAAGGATGCAAGGCCACGTTCGGGAGCACGGATTATGTTCGACGACATGTACTCGATCATGAGAAGGGCCTGATCGGGATGGAGTTCCGATGTGATTTCGCAGACTGTAAGGCGGTCCTGGCCAATCCGTTGACGCTCCAACGACATAAGCAGCTGCATGAGGAACAATCCCTGGGCTTTGAGTGGAAGTGTTTGATTCCGGAATGTGGCAAGGTATACTCGGGAAGCAAGCAACTGACGGATCATCAGACCAGGATCCACAAGGATCTAGGCGCAGACTATCGGTTCCTCTGTCCATACAAACATTGTGATCAACAATTTGAGTGCCAGCGCTCTGCCTACAAGCACGACTGTCTGTACCGCAAGGTATTTTAATATTTTTTGATATTTAATTTTATTTTATTTTTTATTTTATTCCCCCCCTCCCCTCCTTCCCCCCTCCCCCCTTTCCTTGCACAAGAAAAACAAAAGGTCTATCGATCCGATCGTGTTTACACGCGCATGCTTAAAGAAAAAGACAAAAAAGACCCGTTTGAGCCCTTAGGTGTGTCATGTCATCGACCCTAATGGATGATGTGATCGTAGCGAGCGAGCCGCGCTGCTCTTTTTAATTTGTTTAGAATCACACGGTTGTGTGCATCTTTGTTGTATTATTGTTTTTTTAAGCTGTGATAACTAACTTTGTCATAAAAAAAAAAAAAAAAATTTTTTTTTCTTATTTTTCCCACTTGATAGAAACAATGCCCTATTGAAGGTTGTCCATGTTTGTTGCCCAACGCCGAGGCCCTGGAGGCCCATCTGTGGATGCATAATACACTCAAGACTAGACCACCCTATCCATGCTTTGAAGAAGGTTGCTCTAAGGTTTATGATACAAAAAACGGTATCTTGGCTCACGCTCTTACTCATATCATAAATGAGCTGTAAAAAAAAAAAAAAAAAAGAAAACGAATCTCATCCATCCCCACTTAGCTCTTCCTCCAAAACTCCAACTCCAGAATTGCTTTTCTAATTGCAAATACAAAGCACATCAAAAAGAAAAAAATGCAAATAATATAAATATTACATATATATATGTATAATGAAGAAGAATGTGATAAGCACAAGGAAACGAAGCAAGCACGAGCTTTTCGTTTTAAAAGAAAGTCCCCTCCCCCCCACATTTTTCTTTCCTTTATTATTACTATATATATATTTATTGTTATTACTATTTTTTTTCTTTTTCTTTTTCGTCAAAAGATAATTCTTCATCTTTTTCCTTGCATGTATAATAAATAAGTAAATAAGTAAATAAATAAAGATCCCCCATTACATAAAAGAGGTCCTAATTTTTTTTTTTTGATAAGCTGTTTAATATGAATATTTAAATATATATTTATTATTTTCGTGTACGACCGAATAAAATAAAATAAAATAAATGATTTACAAAAATTATTATTTTGTGTCCCTTTTTTTTTTTTTTTTTTTTTTCGTTTGGCATGCGCCTTCTTTTTGCTTTGCCTTGCTTTGCCTTGCCTCGCCTTGCCTCGCCTTGCCTTGCCTTGAACTTAACAACGCAACGCAATGTATCGTAACCATGTGTCGAAGATGGAGACACAAACGTTTTCAAAATTAAAATAAATAATAAATGAGCAATGACGAAAAAAATAAAATAAAATATATATAATACATATATATACATAAAAAGGCTAGACAAAGTCCACGCCTCTACACTGATAGTCAGACTGGATAGAGCAGACTAGGCCAGAACTAAACTAGAGTCGAAGGAGAGAGAGTTTTAGGTGGGAAAACATTCAATGCTGAAAGTGGAGAAGCTGAGGACAGAGTTTGAGTAAAGCGGAAAATAAAAAAAATAAAAAAAATAAAAAAATAAAATAATTAAACATTGATGATGAAAAAAAATTTTTTTTGTCCATTCATTTATCCATTGATTCATTCATTCTCTGTCTCTTACTTCATTGGCTATCTCGTCAAGGGATGGAAGAGAGTTTTTTATTATTATTTTTTATATTATCTTGTATTTTCAGGTACAGGATCAGGCACAGGAACAGGTACGGGTAGGGGTATCAAAGCTTGTTTGCGCCATGTCCTATCCTCCCCCTCCCCTTTGTCCTTTCATATCTTGAGCTCTATATTTTGCCATGTTTTGTTGTTAAATGATTGCCATTCCATTCCTTGCTCAGCTCCCATGGAAGAAAATAATAAAATAAAATACATACAATAAAGGTCCCCCTCCTCCCTTTCCCTTACCCTTACCCTTACCCTTACCCTTACCCTTACCCTTACCCTTTCTATCTAACCAATTTCCATCATCATCTCTCTCCTCTCTTTCTCTCCTTGCTCATTGTTTATTTATTTGTCCCTTTTTTTTTTTTTTTTTTTTTTTCTTTTTTTCTCCACAATGAGCAACATGAGGCGCGAAGGGGAGAGAGAGAGATGGCGCCAAAATAATAAAAATAAGAAGGTTCATATAGAACCTTACTCTCCTCTCCTCTAGCGGGAAGGAGCATTTCTTTTCTTTCTTTTTGAATTTATTCCGCTCCTGTATAGACTTGTTACAATAGTAGAAAAAAAAAATAAAAACAAATTAGTTTGAGGGACAAGGATCGGTCAGGGCGTGAAAAGAGAACCCTTTTTTTTTTTTTTTTTTTTTTTTTTTGTTGCTCAAAGGTTTATTATTCATGAACAGTGTACATGTACATACACTAAGGCAAGTTTGAACCTTGAACTTGAACATTGAGCCAAAGGAAAAAAAAAAAAAATGTTCATCTGTTTTTCTGTTGTTGTTATTTTTTTTTTTTTTACGATCCGAGCGGGCCTAGCCCTTTTAGACAAATCTACCCCTCTTTTTTGTTGATAAATATTTTGCATGAACATACTTCATAGGTTTTTTTTTTTTTTTTTTTTTTAATGGTTGAATTATACACCGTGTTTTTCTGTCTGCATTACGTCTCTTTGCTTTCATTCTTTTCATTTTCTCCGCGCTCTCTTTTTTTTTTTTTTTTTTTTTTCCTTGCTCTAACCCAACCCTTCCCATCCTCTTTCCCTCGCAAAAAAAAAAAAAAAAAAAAAAAAAAAAAGGACCCTCGAGGATTTGTTTTGCAGAATGGCTCTAAACAAAACATCTATACTTTTTGCAGCTCCTATGCAGTCAGAAGAATAGAGTTGATAAATAATATACACATTTAACCTTGTAACCTCCAGTTGATTTAAAGATCGGCAATTATTTGCCCTATTCCTTTTTCTTTATTTTATTTTATTTTATTTTATTTTTTTTTTTTAAAAAAAAAAAAAAAAAAGGCTGGGGGGGGGGGTGGGCATTTAAAGCATATAGCGTAATAGCATGTATATAGCATATAGCATAAGGGGGAGGGAGAGGGCGAAGATATTTACTAAAAAAAAAAAAAAAAAAAAAAACATGTAGACTACAAACATTTTGCCAACAGAACAGACTACAGACTAGAGACTAGAGACTACAGCCTACAGCCTACATGTAATGTAGATATTATTGTAGATTTATGGAAAGATTTGCTCTTCCATTTTTACCCTTACCCAATACAAATATGTACAAATTAAGGACGATAGTAACAAATATACTTGAAATACTTGAAATACTTGAAATACTTGAAAAAAAAAAAAAAAAAAGAAGCGTCGATGGATAGAAAGAACCGAAAGAATGCAAGATAGCCTCGATTGGTCACGCCCCGATGTCAACAACCAACAACCAACAACAAAAAACATTTGCTGCTCGTGTCCACGCTTTCATTAAGCATCTGGTAAAAACTGACAAGGGATGTAAATACATGTGTATACATTGACTATCCAATACATGTCTATTTTGCACACTGTTGAGCGGTTGTCATCCCCCCCTAACTCCCCCCAACTCCCCTCGCCCTACATCTCTTCATCCCCTCCTTCGCATCCCACCCATCCCATCGAACATCCCATCGGCATCCCATTGAGCATCCTCACCATCCCCTTGACTCACCCCCCCCCCCCCCCCTTTTTTTTTTTTTTTTTTTTCTTTCTTTTCTTTGCAATTATATACCTACAAGTTCAAATGGCATGGTCAAAAAAAAAAAAAAAAAAAAAGATTTTGCTTGTTTGTTGTTACGCCAACGAGTCCAAGTCCAAATGAAAGCATGAACAAATAAAAATCTTTGCAGTTCGAACAGTCTGAACGCGTGCCATTGCGACGCGGCTAAAAAAAAAAAAAAAAAAAAAAAAAAAAAAAGGAGGCGGGAAAAAAAAAATAGGGAAAAATGAATGAATGAATGAATGAATGGATGGATGGATGGATGTTAGATGTAGTAGTAGAGAAGTGTTTTTATTCAAGATTCTTGCGTTACTGAGTTATTATTTTGGACACATTATTTTTTTATTTTATTTCATTTCATTTCAATTAGATGATGATGGCATTGTATATACAAGTGCTCCATACATGTTATATACACATCTCTGTCTTTTTTTTTTTTTTTTTTTTTTTTTTTTTTCTTTTTTTCATTGCGCCATCCAGGTACCAATTTGCAATTTCGAAACTAACGATCGATCGACCGACCGACCGACCGACCGACCGACGAAAAAGCTATGGGAGGGAAAGCTCTAGCCCTTCCCCGCCCAAATGTAACTATCTATCTATATATAATAAATGTATACATATATAATTAAATATATAATATACAAATGTAAATAAATTATATAAAAATATCATCAACTCACAGCCTCTTATTCCTCAGTCTTTACGTGTCCATATCCGTGTTCGTGTTGGTTTATCTTTATTATGATTACTTTTTTTTTATTATTAAGGAACCAAAACTTTATCCCACCACCAATAAGGAAGGCATGTATAGATACATCAACCTCCCTTCATTATCCCTTTCCTTTTTTTTTTTTTTTTTTTTTTTTTTTTTTAAAAAAAAAAAGAGTACATATATCGAATAAACTAAAGGTTGTTTTATGCGTTCTACTATATATATATATGATGGATCCAGGGGGTTAACTGATGAGGATAAAGGGAAAAAGTGAGTTAAAAAAATAAAATAAAATAAAATAAAATAAAAGGTTCCCCGTTTTTGAAGAGTAGCTTAGTCTATCGCTAAATAACAATAAAAAAAAAAAAAAAAAAAAAAAAAGGTATTGATTCTACATCCAAGTATCCCATAGTCGCGCTTGTTATTATATATGAAAGATTGAATATTTTTATAGTTTGAGTAAAAGTATAGATGGATGTGTATAGTATTGGCTATTAGCAAAGATGATGATGATGATATCTATTGTTGTTTTATGTAAAATGTTATATCTTGCCCCTTCCCTCCAACTATCGTTGTCGTTGTCATTGTCATTGTCATGATCAGGGTCATGCAACATCGGAATGGATCATCAAGCTCTCGGCAAGTCTTTCCGAAGTATAGTTTTATACAGTTAGTACATTTGGACTATCTCTGTAGCGTAACACGTTTTTTTTTTTTTTTTTCTGTTTAGAAAAAGAAAAACACAAATAACAGGTTCGACAGATAGTCAGTCAGTAGACTAGACTTTTTGCATTTCCTCCTTCCCTCCTCCCATTCCCATCTTTTTTTACACGTAAAAAAAAAAAACAACAACATGTAAAATAAAATATCGATCTATACTTCAAACTCCAAAGTTCAAACTATATAACCATAATCTTGGTTGAAGTATATGATGCATGTATATATCCATCCAGAGTTACAGAGTGTACCTTAGCTGTTTCTTTTTATTTTTCACCCTCCGAGTCATGCATGTTTGTAATCTCTACTCTATTTTCACTCTTTTTCTCTTTTCTCTTTTTCCTCAAGATTGTTTTTTTTATATATATATTTTCTTATGAGGAAACGGTGGAAATGAAAAGAAGGAGGGGAGGGGGAAAGGGGAAAGGGGGAAAAAAGGAGGAAAGGGAGGGAGGAGGGGAAAGGAGAACCGAATCCTTGGGCGCGCGCCACGTGGTATTCATCTTGATTGAACACAAAAAAAGCATCTCACAACCACAGCTCATCCCATCCCATCCCATCATAAACATTGTCCAGGAAATGAAGAATAAAAATGAAGAATAAAATAAAAATAAGAATAAAAATAAAAATAAAATAAAAAATAAAAATAAAAACAAAATAAATACAAGGAATAAAAAATAAAATAATAAAAATAAATAAAAATAAAAAAAAACTCCTACTCTCTTCTACAGTGCACAGCCGAGATGATAGATGATGACGGAGTATGAAAGGGAAAAAGAAAAAAAAAAAAAAGTGGATAGAGAGAACTTTATCTTCTTCATTTGGGCTTTTGTTTTTTTTTTTTTTTTTTTTTTTAACTCGTGTATATCTTTTCTATTCCGCAAAAAACATAAAAAATAAAAAAAAAAAATAAAAAAGTTGCCTAATTGCAACACTAGGCACGTATTATATATATATATATAGATATACACAACATGTATTTGTAAGCGAGCCTTCGGATTGAACACGTTCGACAATGTTTACAGAAACTATTATGAAAAGATAGGAGGAAGTAAAAAAACGAGTCTAGTGATCCGAATACTCTGCAGCATTAAAAGAAAGCGCGTTTTTTTTTTATATCCTTTGAGCTATTGCATCATTATAAACATGCATGACTTTTTTTTTATTTTATTTTATTTTATTGCCACGCCGCCTTTTTTTTATATAGAAGAATATAATTTTATAATTTTTTATTTTAGTTTTCTCACGCCGATGAAGTATGTTGCACAAACAATTTAGGGTCAGAACATTCATACAAGTCATGAGATCATGAGATCTGACATTGTGTCAAAGAAATTTTTATTTTTTTATTTTTATTTTCTGTGTACTGTATATATAGCCCGTTTCATTTGGTCGCGATACCTTATATTTTTTGAATACTTTCGAGTGTATTGGCAGCCAATTATCTCGCTTGTTACGAGTATTGTTGCAAGTCCGTCACGTAGTGAGATGCCACCAGAACAATTCAATCATCGTTTTTAGATTAAAAATATAAGGTATCGTGACCAAATAAAATTGGCGATACATGTTCATGTATACATGTACACTACTTGTATCTCTGTGTCTGTTCCATGCGTCTTTGTTAGACCAAACATCATGCAGGAACCGTACCAAATATGTTTAAATGAAAAATGACGCGTTTTTTTATTTTTATTTTATTTTATTTCATTTTTTCTCTCTCTCTTCCTTCCTTCTCTCTACTGTTTTGTTGTTGTTTTTGTTCATGTTTTTCTGGATTAATGAAACTCGTCATTATTCATTACCCTTGCGACAGCATCCATACCGCTAAGGAAAAAAAAAGTATCTTTTAAGCCCTTTAAGACTCTAAAAGATCATGGCATTAGAGAGTAAACCATTAGCCATACCCTACATGGTCTCAACATCACTGAGCATAGACAAAAGTATTCATCTCGACCATATACAATACAGAGGCATATAGGCTTATTGATGTATATATCTTTTAATTAGATTAAAAAAGAGCTAAAGAATGACACGAACGACAAAGTAATACGAATGCCCTAGTTTATCTGGCAAAAAGAGTTGAATAAGCGAACGGCATGTTAGGTTGGACAAGCTGGAACAAATGCAACTATTGAAATCTTATCCACATACTTGGTGGCAACCATCGAAACTCACTCTTGTCGCTTGGACAGTGACTATATAAATATATTTTTCGCTGGGCAGAGACGAATTAAGAGAGAGAGCAGCAAAAGTAGTAAACCTCTCTCTCTCTGCTTATCTCGCTGTCCGCCTCTTGGCTCGTCTCTTTGCCTACTTCTCGATCTATCTCTTGTCTCTTCCTTGGACCGATTGTCTCATGGGAAACAAAGGGCCCAGACGTCTATCTACTGTGCCTATGCTCTCATTGGCCAAGGGGGGTTTTTTTAAAACAACTCTTTGCCCAATTCTTTAATGTTCACTCCTCATACTTTCTGAGGAAATGCAAATATTCTCTAATATGCCGCTGTCGTAGAGCTGACCAATTTATACAACTCTTTGCTATTAACCTCTACTTCCCAAAGAGCCACTCTAATCGCGAACTCGGAAACAACCTCTGGCAAAAAAGCTGTCGGACCACACTATGGCTTCAACGACGGTCTTGAGCACACCTCATTTCATGTTAGCCTAAAGATGCTCCATCGCTCCTGTAGATACCTTGCATGGTTGGCCTCATTCTACAAGATGGGATATTCTCCTTATTTTTCACCTTGAAAGCTCAACCTATTCAGATCGCTCTGGAGGACCAACCCTTCTGAAAGTAGAATAGAAACTGGTGATTTGTGCAGTATTCCATCAAATCAGGAACGACTTGATCCCTCAGACTGTAGGCAGCAGCTTTTCTTTAATGTAAGCAAGCAAGCATACAAGTGGCGGATAAGATTATGTACATCCACGTTTTTTTATCTTCTTTTCAATCTATACTATACAGTGGTGCCATCTATGTTACTAACGAACTGCTATTTAATAGATTTGTTTTATTACCAATCTAATGATTATAAAGTGAGGAATAGCCCTATCATCTAAACAAATGAGAAAAAAAAGTTGTTGGGGAGGTGAAGGAGGATATGCTTAACTCTTGGCGTAGACAGGTTCAAATGTAATACATATTTTGTTTTATTCTTTTATTACTGCCATTATTAACAAAGGATATTACTTCAAAGTAGAAATGCTTGATGGTGTCAGCTTTGTAACATGAACATTGTGCAAGTGCAAAAATAATGCATGAGATAGGAGGAATCCTCCTTCGCATTCGAGAAATACATTCCTGTTGCAGGTTGTAATCATTCCTCTTTTCAATAACGCACTTCAAATATGCGTGTTCTGTCCTGTTCTTTTCTCCATCTGAGCGTCTCAGACAGTGCCAGAGCTCCTTCCTTCCCAATTGAGTTATCCCCTAAGTCCAAATTGGTCAAGGTCGTGTTTGTCTTGAGTGCCTCGGAAAGTGCCAGAGCTCCTTCCTTCCCAATTGAGTTGTTCCATAAGATCAAATTAGTCAAGGCCGTGTTTGTCTTGAGTGCCTCTGAAAGTGCCAGAGCTCCTTCCTTCCCAATTGAGTTGTATCCCAAGTTCAAATTAGTCAAGGTCGTATTTGTCTTGAGTGCCTCTGACAGTGCCAGAGCTCCTTCCTTCCCAATTAAGTTGTCCTCCCAGCCCAGATTGGCCAAGTTCAAATTGGTCAAGGTCGTATTTGTCTTGAGTGCCTCTGACAGTGCCAGAGCTCCTTCAGTCCCAATTGGTTCGCCCCGCAAGAGCAAACTAGTCAAGGCCGTGTTTGTCTTGAGTGCCTCTGAAAGTGCCAGAGCTCCTTCCTTCCCAATTGAGTTGTCCTCCAAGTCCAGATTGGCCAAGGTCATATTTGTCTTGAGTGCCTCTGAAAGTGCCAGAGCTCCTTCTTTCCTAATTGAGTTGTGTCTCAAGTTCAAATTGGTCAAGGTCGTATTTGTCTTGAGTGCCTCTGACAGTGCCAGAGCTTCTTCATTCCCAATTGAGTTGTTCCATAAGATCAAATTAGTCAAGGCCGTGTTTGTCTTGAGTGCCTCTGAAAGTGCCAGAGCTCCTTCTTTCCCAATTAAGTTGTATCTCAAGTTCAAATTGGTCAAGGTCGTATTTGTCTTGAGTGCCTCTGAAAGCGCCAGAGCTCCTTCTTTCCCAATTAAGTTGTATCCCAAGTTCAAATTGGTCAAGGCCGTGTTTGTCTTGAGCGTCTCTGAAAGTGCCAGTGCTCCTTCCTTCCCAATTGAGTTGTCCTTCAAGTTCAAATTAGTCAAGGTCGTGTTTGTCTTGAGTGCCTCTGACAATGCCAGAGCTCCTTCCTTCCCAATTGAGTTGTCCTTCAAGTCCAGATTGGCCAAGGTCATATTTGTCTTGAGTGCCTCTGACAGTGCCAGAGCTCCTTCATTCCCAATTGAGTTGTTCCGCAAGAGCAAACTAGTCAAGGCCGTGTTTTTCTTGAGTGCCTCTGACAGTGCCAGAGTTCCTTCATTCCCAATTAAGTTGTATCCCAAGTTCAAATTGGTCAAGGCCGTGTTTGTCTTGAGCGTCTCTGAAAGTGCCAGAGCTCCTTCCTTCCCAATTGAGTTGTATCCCAAGTTCAAATTAGTCAAGGTCATATTTGTCTTGAGTGCCTCTGACAGTGCCAGAGCTCCTTCTTCCCCAATTGAGTTGCGACCCAAGCCCAGATTGGCCAAGGTCATATTTGTCTTGAGTGCCTCTGACAGTGCCAGAGCTCCTTCTTTCCCAATTGAGTTGAATCCCAAGTCCAAATTGGCCAAGGTCATATTTGTCTTGAGTGCCTCTGACAGTGCCAGAGTTCCTTCATTCCCAATTAAGTTGTATCCCAAGTTCAAATTGGTCAAGGCCGTGTTTGTCTTGAGCGTCTCTGAAAGTGCCAGAGCTCCTTCATTCTCAATTGAGTTGCAACCCAAGTCCAGATTGGCCAAGGTCATATTTGTCTTGAGTGCCTCTGACAGTGCCAGAGCTCCTTCATTCCCAATTGAGTTGTTCCGCAAGAGCAAACTAGTCAAGGCCGTGTTTGTCTTGTTTGCAGACCTAACACAGACTTCTTCAATGATGTCGCTATTAGTCTTTTGGAATTGCTGGTATGGAGGTTTTGTCATCTCGGTGATGATTGGAAGGATGATGGGGATGATGACAAGATGAAAGGTTTTCTCATTTCTCTACTTGAGTACCAGATGCTACAGTCTAAAGTCGATTTTATTTTATTTTATTTTATTTTTTTTTTTGCTTCGTCATTTGGTGTTACAAGATTTGTTATTGATAGATGGCTGTACTTGTATTGATCTCAACTCAGATAACTCAGATAAAAAATACGTCTTAAGGTCCTGACACTAACAGCATTGTCCTCGATTCATATCTGCATTTGTAAACTTCACTTGATATCTCTTATTTAGTGAAGACTCTTCATTACTGATGTCTCCCAAAGAGCTAGCTAGTCTGCGCCATGGATACCTTGAGGTGGTTTATGCTTTTTTTTTTCTTAAACAGACATTCAGACAACACCTTGCCTTGAAAGGATATGGAGCATGGGTATGAGTGGATGGAGATAGTTTATTGGGTTTTAGAAATATAGTACAGGAGTAAATAAACGCAAAAAAAAAAAAAAAATAAAGCTCATCTATTGAGCATCAGCTCCGTCGTCCAACTCATCGTCATCATCCCTCCCTACAACCTTCTCTTCGTCATCTCGTCCTTCCTCCTTATTATTCTCATCACCATTATCTTCCTCTCTCTCTTCCTTTCCATTATCGCTGTCAACGTCTTCTTCGTCTCTATCCTCCTCGTCTCCATCTTCTTCTTCCATTTCCTCCTCATCTTCTGCATCCTCACCTTCTTCGTCTACTTCGTCCTCTTTCTCCCCTTCATCTGCTGCAACGCTTTCTGGACTGCTTTCGTCAAAAGGCCCTTCCATCTCCTGATCTTCATTGTCGTCCTCGCTTTCGTCTTCCTCTACATTATCTCCCTCTGCTTTTGCCTCTGCTTCTATTTCTACCCCAGCTTCGTCTTCGTTTTCATCTTCATCTTCAACCTCATCATCCTCTTCTTCATCCTCTTCTTCCACTTCTTCCTCTTCCTCCTCTTCCTCCTCTTCCTCCTCTTCCTCCTCTTCCTCATCATCATCATCACTATCCACCTCATGCGCCGGGGCCTCCACCTCGTGGCTCTTTCGCATAGTCTCAGTATCAATAATATCTTCGGTATCGTCCTCGCCATCTTCTTCGCTACTTGATGCTGCTTCCTGATCTGGACTGCTCTCGTCATTCCCGCCCAGATCGTCATCTACATCAGCTTCCTCTTCAGAAGCAAAGTCATCTTCACCCACTGTCGTTGGATCTCCTCCGGTCTCGCTTTCTGCTTCAGAAGCATCGCTTGTATCCTCATCTATCGCTCCATGTTCTTCATCATCATCTTCCCTTTCTTCTTCTTCTTCTTCATCCTCATCCTCATCCTCTTCCTCCTCCTCCTCCTCCTCCTCCTCCTCCTCCTCCTCCTCCTCCTTCTCGCCCTCGTCCTCGTCATTATCCCCGCTGTTCTCGTTGTCTTCATCTACATTTCCATTCAAGACTCTCGTTTTGGAATCCGAATCAATTGAACCTTCATCATCTTCATCATCTTCACTTTCATTAACAGCATCGCTCTCCTCTCCAACACTATGTACATCCTGATCCCCATCACTGGCATCCTCCTGCTCATCATTTATTCTCCATCCATCCTCGCCCTCGGGCTGATCTATTTCCATATCTTGAGAATCCTTCTGGTCCTCCTCTTCTTCCTCATCTTCATCTTCGCTTTCTTCGGAATTATGATCAGTGTTTTGGAGCGCCGAACTCGTTGTAACATCAAGTTCATCTCCCTTCATGTCAACGTCGCTCTCAGCTCCTGATTCTCCATTATCATCAATGGGTGAGCTGCTTTCTTCTTGGGCTAGTGTAGGTGTAATATCTGTCTCGGCTCTTTGTTGGCCAGCGTCACGAACATTCGACGATACTACAGAGGATGGAGATGACGCAGCAGAAAGCGATGATGATGACATTGGGGATCCAGCAAGTGATAATGAAGTAACAGAGGACAGCTCATCTCCAAGGACATCGTCCTCTTCGTCCTTCGACCTGCTTATTTTGAGACTACGACTGGATGGTCGAGGCTTAAGCTCTTTTGTTTGAATTTTGAGAGCATCACCAATGTTTGCAGTACGTGATTCTGCGCTTGTCTTTACTACGCCGTTGCCTTTCATCTCTTTGGATGTCGCCACCACTGGTGTAGAAGAAGAGGAAACCGGTCCATTCATCTTGCTATGATTGGAGTCAGACTCCAAGTTCGAAATGTCCTCTTGTGCCAACTCTTTTCTTTGTTCTGTATCAGTCATGTCAACATCCATGGCAGTGTTTTTCTCCGTACTTGGGCTTCCTGTTCCAGGATCTGTGGAAGAAGCATTCACTGTGGCTTCTCCAGGTTCTACTGATTCCTTCACATTTTCTACTTTTGCTTTCGGTGGTCTACCACGATTGCGCACACGGACCCTTGACGTACTAGATTTGTTGCGACTCCTATTACGAGATGTTGACTTCGCCACAGTCTCATCATCCTCTTTTGCCTCGCCTCCTGTAATCTCTGATGCATCAGCATCATCTCCGCTATTGGTGCCGTCATCCTTCGGAGAATCATTGTCTGTATGTAATGAAGCCATGAGACCACGCTGGAGCAGAAATGGCGCCCACTTCAGTTTAGTGGGATTAATGATTGGGTAGCCCTTCTTTGCTACTTTATCACAATAGGCCTCAATTTCATTCCAATCAACCACAATCTCATGGCGCAAGGGGGGGATGGAATTGGCGCGATGTCTACTGTTCTTCCCTTTTTTTGAATCCTGAGTCTTTGGTGGGGGTATAGCGCGGATCATGTTATTAGTTTGTAATGTCGTCACAATATCATCAATAGTCATGGCGGTTTCCTGGCTCAGTTCTTCAATAGAAACACGATGCTTTCGATTCTCATCCTTATGAATGGCGAGTAAACATTGAAATAGCACTGTTTTCCAATAACTCCTATACGACAGTAGTCCGAGTGATGACAAAGGCTTTTCTGGGGATCCAGTTTTGTTTTCGCGTTTTGAAAGTAAATAGCCTAGTATAATATGGAGGGAAGCTGTCAGAACGACCTAATACACTTTTTTTTTGAGCGGGTGCTGCTGTTAATGCATCAAAGTATAACTTACTAAAATCAATCAGGAGATTTCCATAACCTTTACGTTGGTGGATCGGAAGTGTCAGAATACAAGAAACATTATAATCCATTGCAGAGCGCTTCTCCTGTAGTTTTTTTTTTAAAAAAAAAATACTTGTCAGTTTCCTATATCCAGAAGCGAAGCCATATCTTGCAATTTTTCAATGGTTGATTTTTTTTTTTTTTTTTTTTTTTTCTAGAAAAGCACCTTCGAAAAATAGCCTACAAAGTGGCAACCCAAATCTCCAGATTCCGTCATCACATAAAATAGAAAGGGTTCAACATCATAATAGAGAGTCTTATGGTCCAGGAACATTTTTGCAAGTAAACAGAGATTCTGACAATAAATTTTGTTTTTGCGTCCATCCACTTCAAAAATTGAAATGTTGCCTTCCCGATAAATTTCATCTCCAGGTGGATGTCGCATTGCGCATTTCATCTAAGAATAATTGAATTAAAAGAGGAACAAAAAAATATTTTATTTTTCATTTTCGGGGAATCCGGTTACAGATTAGTAAGAAACAATAGGAAGAGTATCGAATTAACAATCCTGCTACACATCATTTGCTCTCTCTCTCTTTTTTTTTTTTTTTTTTTTAATAAATAAATAAATAAAACAAAAGACTTACTCTATGTCGCCCAGCCATAAAGGAACTTTTCATATACTTAAGGCAGAACTCGCATATATACAAGATAGGGTGCTGACTGTACTCTTCTGGATAGGGCGCTACATACCACGTATCAATCTCCCAGTCTCCAAACCGAATTTTTTTAATTGCAGCGACAGGCGCTGAGTATGCTGAGCTTCCTGCTTCAGGTGCCTCGGCATCTAATGGTTTCTCCTTGATAAGCTTCTAGTAATTACAATAAATATATATAAATAGTGCCATTAGTTTTTTTTTTTTTTTTTTTTTTTTGGCCAGGTCATAGACTCTAAAAGAAACGATATTTTACCTCGGCAAGTTCCTTAGCCTTCTCAAATCTCTGTTTGTCTCTAGCATCTGGTGTGGTAAATGACACATCCGATTCCTCTTCTGTGAGATGTGGACCAAATGGGTGCGAATCCGAAACCTCGTTATGGTCAGTATTTACAGCTAGACGGTTCTCCGCAACCGCATCCTCTGCTTCATCCTCATCAGACTTGTCTGGACTCTTTAATGTCGGTATCGATTTTTTTCGTCCTTTCCCCCGTGTTTTCTTTGGTTTTTTCTCCTCCAGAGGAGCAGGGGTAGGGCTCGTAACCCGTACAGACAATTTTCCATTTGCATTTCCCAAAATAAGTTGTCTAGCATCTGATCCTGAGCTGTAATCTTTTTTACGAGACGTATTAGTAGATGTGAAACTAGTACTGGTATCTGTTGGTGCTGGTGAGGAGGCAGCGGTTAATGCTGGTGTCTTGGCTGCTCGACCTCGTTTTTTCATTGAACCTGCTGTAGCTGGTTTGGACGACGATGATGACGTCGGCAAAGGAGACGCATCGCCATGTTTGGTAATTGGAATTGGAATAATAACGATCGCCCTTCCTCTATCCTTTTTGATCCGCTTGATGATTACAGGTCGTTTCGGTAGATCAACATTGGTTTCTGCCTCCTCAATTTCATTGTCAGCTGGCACGAGACGTACTTTTCTTTGTTGATCCGACTTTCTTCTAATTTTCCGTTTTGAGCTCATTGCTTCTGCGTCTGCGGTAGATACTGAATCGGGTGTAACAGTAGGTGGTGAGGCTGATGTTGTTGAGGTTGCATTCGTATTTGTGTTTGGGTCCGTACTTGTAGTTGTGACAGATGATTTCCCCCGGCCATTGGCAGTTTTTTTTCGCTTTAATGATAGTGAGGATATACTCTTATAGTCTGCTGGGATCTTTGCTGGATATTTTTCTATACAGTCGTCGCAGTAAAAATCATCTAAGGAGCAATGAAAGATGTTTTGATCATAATGTTATATAAATATGTAAGAGAAAAAAAGAGACTTATAGTTAATATCGGTTTGTAAGTGCAATGCAGACGCGCATAATCTCGATTGAAGATGGTGTGTCGTATTTACGTGGGGGTACACTTGACAACGGGGTGCTTAGACAATAGCAGTGCCAACCTCGATCGCAATTCTCGCACATCATCATTTTATCCTATGCATGATGTAGATCCAAGTGGTCAGAGAGGGGAAAAAAAAAAAAAGAGAAACAAGACACAAAATGATCTACCAAGGAGATATTGTAATTGGGATATTAAGATGTCCTGACAATTACAAGTTTACCTCGTTGTTTGAGGATTGACACTTTTGGCATGTTTTGCAATGAACACACTGCCATGGGAATTCTTCCTGCAGTGCAAGCTGTGGTTTAAGCTTAATACATGTTGGATGCCCTATTAATTTTACGAGTACAAAAAAAAAAAAGGGAATGCAAGGATCGAAAATGAAAGGATGAAAGAATTAAAGGATACGAGATAGAAAGCAAGAGAGTAAAGGTCAGGGGTTTAAAAAGGTTTCTTAATTAGCCCACATGTGTGCAACATTACTAAAATAGCAGTCTACTATAGTTAGAAACTCGCGTCCAATAATAATAATAATAAAAGTAAACCTACAGCTTTTATGACAGTCCACACAGGTGATGAGATCTTCATAGACATCAGGCGAACCATCCTTCTCAGGGCCAAAGAGACATTTAGCACATCCAGTGCCCATGGGTTTAGGTGGTCCCACTGCAGCTGTCTATAATTGGCGCGTTTTTTTTTTTAATGTTTTGCATTTGTATGTTTCCTATTTAGACTCACTCATTGAAGCTAATGGCACTCCATGATACCAAACAATAGAAATAAAAAAATGAGGGTAAATACCTTTCGCTTTGGCCGGTTTGAAGGCATCTGATCCTATGTATTAATGGCTCGATTGGCTGAGGATGGATTAGGCCCAGATTCAGAGCGAATGGGGCTTCCCCTGAGATTAATGAACGTACGATTACTAAACGATGAGGGCTCCATGTAGGTTTAGTATTAAGCTCATCTCTTGCTTCGGAGTAGTCACATGATCTGATTGACAAGCCACTTCAGATCATTCGCCTCCACATTTTTTATGCAGCTCTGTAACCTGGGCGCAGCATGATGCAATACTTGTTGGGAAATTTAAAATACATATTAATTACTAAAATCAAGGCATTAAAGGTTTATTCAAGAGAAGAAAAATAGATAGGAAAAAAGAGATGTAGGGATATGCGAGATTTTAACCTTGCTTCACAAACTGCACCCGCTTTTGCATTGGACAGGGAGGATCATAGATTTCGTTTAGAATGGCGGCCATACGAATACCGCTCATGGTGATTAGTTTCTGGACCAAGTACCCATTCTTCTGGCCAGTGGCATTTTCAAAGTAGTCTGCGGAGTAGTCCTTGAGGGGGTCATAGTCCTTCCAAGCGAATGAGCACGCGAGAGCATTCATGGACGTCGCCCATTCTACAGGGCAAAGGGTTTTGATGTCCTTGGTGGTGTCATACCAAGGGTTATCAACCTTGAATATTGCTGGATCGCAAAAAGTCCAGTTACTGGCCTCTGGTTGCCAAATGTTACTAGTCATCTCGAGCATATCGTCCAAATAACTCTTTGGGTTGTTGTCATATCTGTCCTGGATATCTTTCTATTTTTTTTGTTTTCATGAAAATATGATTATTTTTTTTTCGTTCTTTTAGTACATTCCTATTGCTTATACAATTTACACATGATCTCATCCGACAATAGCATACCATGATCATTTGACTATCCCAGATCCTGTGTAAATTGCTTTTGGCCCGTCTCCACTTTGTAGGTGCGTCGTTGCCTCCACGTAGTTTGCCTGAGGTGTGCAATGGCTGATGCAGGTCACCCATAAAATGCACAAAAAACCTCAAAGCGTCCTCTCTAATGCTTTTATCCTCCGGAGTAGTGGGCCCGGTGACTTTATAATGCTTGAGTGTCGCTGTCATGTTGAAAAGCCCATTGATAACGTCTTTGCCGGAGAAATTGTACTCCATATGGCATGTTTCAGGGGGGTCGTCGCCCGGTGTATTGACGTAGTGCAAGATAGATGCCCATCTTGGAGTACATACAGAATATTTCAGGGGATTCAAATTAATATAGAGAGGTTATTCAGTTTGAAGGAACAATCAAGTTTGTAGGACAAAGAACACAATGATATCCGCAGCTTGAAAATACCTGTATTTCGCCTGACCTTTAATCGTATCAGGCCATGGTGCCGCCTTGGACAAAAGTCCATCGTAGTATGGCGATAAGATCTCTTTGACCTGCCTTTCAGTTTCCTTAGTCAAGAATCGCTGTGCTACTTGACCCGTGAGAGTGTGGCCTATCAAAAGAGAAACAATACACTGCTAAGGCAAAGGACCAATTCAATCTATCTTAAGCAGAAGAAAATGTGCGAGAAGACAGCCATACCAAGGATACCATACGCATGGGCGTTGTTTATAGTAGCCAGGCACACAGCAGTGGCAGCGACCAAAGAAGCTGCGAAACGCATCACTGTAAAGGGGGAAAGAACGAAAAAAAAAAAATAAAAAATAAAAAAAAACTTTTTAAAGAGGATATAAGCTGCTTCGTTTGAAGAACAGAATGAAATAGAAATGGATGATGCAAAGCAATGGAGAGTCGAATGAATGTTTTTTGGAGATGAACAGAGGTCAAGTATATTTATACATTCGATGCATGACCAATATTAGATTATTAGATTCTGAGAGCTGTGCGAATCACAATGGAAGCTAGACCTATTCACAATTTGACAAGAAGGTCTCGCAGAGATCTGTAACTGCATCCCCCTATTACTACTATCTATGCCGCCAATAACCCACTCAAGCCTATTCTTCGGCTTCAAAGGCCCTCTGTGGCCTATGTACTTCTTTGTTGGTCTTGATTCCATTTCTCCCAGTCAAATTCCGGAAAAAAAAATTGTATTTCATTCTTGGCAGTCTCAGCTGCGTCTAAGATAGAAGAGCGTGAGTGAGATATGAATGGCGCACAGACTTGATGAAATTGGACCATTGGCATAAAGAGACGACAATTAGGACGTATAAACAATACCTGAACCATGGAATGAATTGCGAGTATCAGTCATGCCATAAAGAGAACGTAAAGTGTCTGGAGCATTGATTCGAGCACTAGGTGTAGGGGGTAAAAAGTAGTCATGTGATTCAGTAAAACTACAGAACCATAAAAGCGTAAAAGCGTAAAAGTACCTACAAAGGAGCCTTATTTTTCACCAGGTTTACCGCGGTGGATGGGTGGGTCCGATAAGAGCACGCCAGTCTGTTATAGCATTCGGCTTTTCGAGGATCAGGGCATAAAAATGCCCACTAGAAGAAACCACCCAGAACCTTTTCGTCAGTATAGCGATCTAGCATACTCGTGTGCGAGATTAAGATCAAAGATCGGAGGAAGCCCTATTACCTAGTCATGTAGCCACATAGCCTCTCAAAAAAAAATTTGCCCCGGTGTTCTCCATAAAAAGCTTCCGCCTGACTCTTTGACCATAGCAAATGTTTATGTGCCAGAACTTTGAATTCATTCTGTTGAATGTGTGCAAACACTTTGCCGACATGAGCACTATTGGCTGCCAGATCTGGTTTGAGTAATGCCAAAGTGAGTTGGGTCAAAGGACGGGATGGCATGGCAATAACGGGCTGAATGAGTTGTAACGTCAAGATCAACAATTTCTTTCTTTTTTTTTTTTTTTTTTTTTTTTTTTTTGCGTATGTATACTGCAAGTGTTCCAAGATTGAAATCATGTAACAACGGCCACGCGATTTTGATATGAAAGGCTTAGCACTGTAAACCAAATTTATGGAACAGATTAATCAACTTTACATTCCATTCAAAATGTGCATTGTCTCCAAAAAAAATGTCATCGGCCATGGACCAGGGAAAAGTGAGGAGAGCAGTATCCCCAGCTTTATCAGAATTACTGGATCTTTTGAATACTGCAGCCTATTCTGGTTCAGAAGACCCTTCCACAGTGGATGGTTTGGTGGCGTTCCAAAAGAAAACACCACTCACAGCTCCTGATTTGACCGTTGCGTTTCAACAATGCTTCCAGAGTATGCGCATTTATTGCATTTGCGCCCAATATGTGCTCTCCCAATAATGAATCAGCATCAGCAAAGTTGGTTGTCTAACTCTTGTCCTTCTTGCAGATCTCTACCCATCAACTTTGGCGGTAAAGGTGTTAATCGTTAACTGGTTATCCAATCTTCTTAAAAAACCTTCTCCTGAGAAGCATGCACCGAGCGCAGTGATTATAGAGCTATCAAAGGCATGTAGTCGGAAATGTACTCACAGTCCTGATCTGAATAGGTACTGGTAATTCTTTGTTAAACTGGAGTTACCTTTATATATATATTAGGTGTTTGCCCAGCTCAATCTCAGTCGCTCAGAAACAGAGGAATGGATGCTGGTATGAAGACAAGGCCGATCACGATCACTACACCTATACTAATGACTTGAGATCATTTGAAGGCGCCTTATCACATCTAATAATATACTCTTATGCTTTTCAGCTTCTCATCAGTCTCTGTGATCTTACGGATACATGTCTCAACATTGTTCGTGAGCTTCCCGAGGCGACATTAGTTGAGTTCCTGTCAAGCCCTGGAAGTATATCTCTTGCAGCGATTATCCTTGATACCGGAAAGCGAGTGTTCAGAGTAAATCATTCTTTTTCTTTTTCTTTATTTTTTTTTTTTTTTTTTTAAAAAAAAAAAAAAAAATCAAATGAGGAAATCTGATCAAAACGGCAAGGGAAGACATGATTAACATGGCATTATAGCATGTCGATAGAACTCAAATTAAAAGAGAAAGATCTGAAGGCTACACCCAGTGGAATCAACGGGCCTTAAACCTAACCAAAAACTTCTTGGAATTCATCGGTGATCAAGTACAGCAAAATGTCATACTTCGGAGTCACGCAAGCGACATGACCATCGCAGGTACATATGCGGAGCAAATTGATGGCTAGTAACAATAGCACGGAGTATTCAGTAAAGTAGAGGAGGTTAGAGAATAACGCGAGCATCCAGTCTGTAACATGCTTCTTAGCTATGCTGAGGAAGCTCGTTCAGAATACGCATATCTTAGTACCACTTTCAAGGCTATTTGTGCTTTAATCCCAAATTGTGGCAAGGACAGAAGAATTCGCCTTGAGGTGAGCGACCCCTTATACTATCAGTAAGCGAGCATGCTCTGTTTGAGTGATTACTAATATTTGTTTATTTTGATTGTTTATTTATACTTTTTCCGGAGGAATTTGTAGACCGAAAATGCAGTCAAATTACTTTGCAATGGGATCCTCGGGTCATGCTTTGACATTTTGAGTCAATGCGTCACCGGTTTAGAAGTGACACCCACTTTTCTCAAGAGGCGTTGGACTTTGGCAAGGTTCTACTACGTCCATCTCAAAAACGTTTCGAGATGTTTGTTCATCGACATATGTGGCTCTTCGGATGGTGCGAGGTCATGCAGGGGCCATTTACGATACCTTTTATTTTTCATGAGAAGGTAAGACAAAGCTAGTGTCAACTATACTGCTATCGAGTGGGTTTGTTATATTGTATATGCATCCGATCAGGTTTTTAAACTGTGGAGAATCTCATTGTGAACAGTCGATTCATATCTAGCGAAGTGATAAACAAGTCCTATCCAGAAGTCCAGTCGGAAATCGTAAACTTTGTAAACAGTGTTGAAGATTTGGTGGTGTCCGCCCTATTTGCATCAGACAGAATTAAGAGCGGCGATAAAAGTGCACTGATATATGAGTTTTCTTCGGCATCTGGTCCTCGCAATGTCCTCCCCCTTACACAGCCTCTGACGGATTACGAGTGGGGCCAAGGCCAACTAAAATTTTTGTTGAAGTTGGTTTCAATCTTTGAAGAGTTTCCCTTAGACCTACAATTGCAGCTTTACCCTATTGAAAATGTCCCAACTCAGGAATCATTACTAGACAGAGTGGTTCGTCAAGCGGACGCTATCGTGCTACGTGAGTTTGGGCCGCCTATATCAGACAGTGATCTCTACTTTCGGATTCTATCTGAATTGGTCACATTTGCATACCTTGTACAGCCTAGACAGTTTGTAAAACTGCAAATCGATATGATTGGCCTTGTAATAGGCCATTCCGATTTATGGTCGTTGGTTGCGAGGGACTGGTGGTGTTGTATCGCAGATAGATTCGGCCAATGCTTTACAATGAATCAAGTTCGGGTTTTAACTGAACTGGTATGGATATCACTGATTGGAATGATGTTACTGAATGACAGCCCCATGGATTCATTATCCTAACCACATCCCCTACCCTCTGCCCCCCTCTTTTAATTTCCTTGCCTTTAAACATAGCTTATAACCCTTCCCCTCGGGAGAGCAAGTGAGAAAATTGGAGCTATGCTTAGTTCCTTACTTCCTTTACTAAATGAACAATCTCAGGTATGTAGTTCTATAATGCCTTCCTTAATTTACTTCCCACATGTGCCTGACCAGAGTAGAGACGGTTGACTCTATTTCCCCATCTAGTTGGCCATCACAGAAAATTTGTTGTCTATTTTAGAAGGCAGGCCTGATATAAGTATGCATACCCTCTTATCTTCATTCCCATTTGGAAGCCTGCATTGTTCGGTAAGTAATATGTTATGTTAGACTACCATTCATTATCTTGCTTACTCCATGTTAAACCTGTTACTTGCTCTTAATTACTATTACTATTGTCGTCGCATTCGAAATAGAGCTTGGACACTCTGGTCAATCGATGTGTTGATGAATGGAGAGCTGTCTGTGATTTGCTAGTGGATGAGCGGCTCGTTCTGGATGCCTTTTACACTATGGTAACTTTTTTTTTTTATTTCCTTTTTTTCAGACGATTTACGCTTGATCCTGCATTGGCCTTGGACATTAAAAGGTTTATTTTTCATGCTTTCACGTATAAACAGCATCAATATGTGGCATGTTTGGCTTCAATCATGAGCTGTGTCAAACATCGTAATTCCTTGGCTGAGAGTACTCGGCACGACCTGTTGAGTTGGAGTTTGGAGATTATAGGAGGAGCCCAAGGATTGATTCAGCACGTTCAAGAACACGAAAGATCGAAGGTGGGAATTAGTTGTCATACTCTTTTTTGTAGCCTAATGCTGCTCGATAGTCTTAACAGTTATTTTGCATAATCGATGTCATGATAATAGCCATTTCGCACGATTGAAGACATTTTTTCATTCCTGAGGTCCATACAACCACTTGACCCTGCCGTACTGATCCAAGTAAGCGAGTAACAAGATGATCAAGATATTCGTTCTTATTTGTTGACGTTTCTTGCTAATATATATATTTACCAGGTTCTAGAAACAATTATTTCATGGGAGGCATTGCCTTCTGACTTGCGACCACTGTCAAGAATATCTATCTCCATGTTCCTTCGATCGTGTTCTACTGTGAAGATAGAAGATGAAACTCATTTGGTATGCAAGTTTGAGAACGTTATTCCCTATAGTGGCTATGAGAAGAGTATATTGACTTCTAGTGTGTTTTACTAACGAAAATGTGCCAACATAGACTCATGCTAAATCTTATATGCAACAGCTCTATACATCTCTCCTACAGGATACTGAGTGGACAGTTATCCACGAGAGTGTTATGAGTTTGGTATGTTGAATCCAATAATAATGAATATTTGAGCATCGGGTGCCAGGAAATAATTCATCAAAATTTGACTTATTCCTGTTCTTTCATACCTGCTTATGGAATATATAGATTGAGTTCTGTGTAGATGGCGCGCCTGTGTTGCTCGTAGAATCACTCCTCCAGGAATGCATCCCAGAGGCATTTCGCGATATAATTTTAAGGCTGGTAGAAGAGGAGAGGAAAGGCTACAATTTCGTGTCAATGCCTGAAGACTTTCAAACTTTCTGGACTACGATGGGAGCGCGAACGAAGTTGGTACAGTCGCAACGTTTTTGCACCAGCACGGTGTCTGATTTACAGGCTGTAACTGGTGCCCGTCCATCCTCTTATGCGTGCATGTCCGCGGTAAAGACAGTGGCGCAATACCTGGAAGTGGTCAATACAAATGATGAGGATAATGAATTCAAGGAGAGGCTGTGGAGAGAGCTTGAAAGGATTCAGAAACTGGCCATGCTCCACAAGCATGCATCTGTACGATTCTATATACCGTAGAATATGTATGATACAGCCGAGTACATAATACATTATTGAAATAATTTTCTAGCACATACCTTGCTTATTAAGCACCAGATTATTTCCAATGGATCTTATTATGAGGAGCAAGAGCATTCTTTCTTCTCTTCCATTGTTACCTTGAGAGACATGAGTAATAATAAAGTAGTGAGAAACAGATTAGTCTTCAATAATGAGCTACGGGACGCATCTAGTCACGAATTTTTTCAGAAAAAAAAAATAGGATGCGGGGGAGATGTTACAATGCCCCAGTAATGGACTGTAGGCAAAAAATAGCTTTGTTATCTCCTTCATTTGCCACTTCTCTTTAACAAGACAGAGAGCTTTTGTTGATACGACTTCTCCTTCTTATGATAAAAGAAAAAAAAGACGGACCATTTTCCTATGGAGAGAGCAACTTGGAACAAAAATCTCGAAGTTTGATTGGCTTAACCTTATTTCTAGAATGACATCATCATATTTATTAAGGATGTGGGACTAAAAATGGCTATTTAATCAAAGCCCAGTTTTCTGGAATGCGTCTATGGGATTCATGTCTTCTCACTTGCTGTTCTGCAACATGGCCAGACATATTTTTTCGGTATATGTCCATGTAGCGGAAGGACTTTCTTGCGTATTTTCAAATGCATATAATGTGCACTGAGTTCAAAGCCTCTGGTACGGCCTCTTGTAGTCCTATGAATGTGTAATCACAATTTGCTCTGGTGCAGCGCTTGCTTGCTCTCCAGAACATCTCAATGAAGTTCAATTCGCAGTGGAATTGTGGGTAGAAAATAACTTGCTGCCTGTGCCTTCCTGCAATTTCCTCTAAGGGTGATTGTTGGGCCATAAAGTCCGGTTGCAACTTTAAAATACGCGTAGCACAGCATAATTCCTTGTCACCAGAATAATCACGCGCCTTGCAATTCGCACATATCATCCTCCTATTCGAATAAGGTATGCGTATGCTTTTAATGTTTTAATAAAAGATCTGGAGCCTATTGAGGTTACTGCCTCCATTCCTTTGTGAAAATAGAGGCCTTCTGTTACCATTTACGGTTACAGATTACGTTTTCCTTTATGTTATCCTCACGAGGCAGGAGCCGACCATGGCGGACCTCAGTTTCCGGCTCGTTTAATTCAAGCAAAATTTTGGGAGTGGTTTCAGACGACACCCATGACAACCTTTGGGCCTCTCGTATTGCTGAAAAAAAAAAAAAAAAAAAAAAAAAAACACGCACGCTTGCTCAACTTACTTCTCACCATACCTAAATTGAATATGAAGTCGATGCCACTAAGCAAGGTCAATAATGTCAAAAGATTGATGTTGAATGGTATGTCCGATCGAGAAGCGGCTGCTAGCGATGGTATTTCCCAAAGAATGGCCGCTAGGATTTATGTAGAGGATAAGGAGGGCATGCCAGCCAGAAAGCGTGAACGACCACAGAAAGTACCTACAGAAACTACAGTATCTCAAGATCAACATGAAAACGAGATATGCTCAAGTCCGTCTGATGGTAGGCGTCCCTCAGTCAAGCTGAAATGACCATTGAGGAGAGTAAGTGGAGAGATTTATTCCTGGATTTGTTTGATGCCGTGATATCACCTTTTCCATTTTACTATGTTTCAACTTTGGCTATAGATTATGATAGCTTTTGGGAGCCTCAGCTGTTTAATTGCAATAGCGCCCTTGAGAATGATGTATATAGAAGATAATCGTTAACAAACATATGCGGGATTCATACATAAAATGGCTATTTATTATCATTGCTTCTCGCAATAGCGACGATACTTCTGGACTGAAAGCAGCACTCTATTCTAACCAGCGGTATTATTACCCGGCTAAGTTTGACCATGATTAAAAAAAATCGGTTTGGCGCACCACCATCCAAAAAATTTTAACCGTTGGTTGTTTCTGATATTTAGCGAACCGGTTCTGGCCAGTGAACTGGTGAAAACCGATAAAGCCGGCAAATGCCAGTTAAAACTGATGATCGTGATCAAATGAACCAGCTTACTCTCAAAAGTCGAATATAGCTCTTTACGAGCCCTATCTCCACCCGCAATTGTCATTCCCTGATCATACACAACTTCGTAAAGATCAGCAGTTTCCTTGTCCATCTTACCCAGCTGTTTCTCTTTAGTGTGCTGCCGGCGTCGTGAAGGCAAAACCTCTTCGTCCTCTATCTCGCACCACTTCCTCCGACCGAGTGGAGCCCCAGCGGCACTTCTGGAGGATTCCGCCTGCACATCCCTCTTTTTCGCCTAATGTTGCTTTGCAAGAGGATCCAGAAAGATAATACCCAAGTCCTTTTGACTTCAAAAGCTGACGGCGAGTTATCTATGAAAACGCATCTTCCTCATGTCCACCACCCTTGTCATGACTACCATCACTGCTGGTGAACGAACAGTTAAGAGTGACATGGTTATTGCCCTCCTTCTGAACGAAGGAGGATTTAGAGGGAGAATTATGAGACATAGTGTTGGAAGACATGAGGTATTATGGCAATAAGTATGTGCAGTGATCAGACAGTGTTGGAATACTAATGTTCAAAAACAAAAAGAAAATAGTGAAATAAGAAAGGGAGGAATGAGCACGAAATGACAATCCATTTCTCCACTTCTGTTCACAATCATCCATCCATCATCTCCATTCTCATTCACCATTCGGCTTTCTCTTCAATGAATGATTGAGATTTCGCCATACATAAAACTAACTTGCATATCCCTCTTGACACCATGTTTGCGGATCAAAATATGCGTTTTGCTGCCACCAAAAAAGGGAAATGATAGAGGTGATACACGCATTACAGTCAGTATCTTTATTCTTGATGATGAGCGATCAAGTATATGCCTTATCATTGGCATGGATTTCTTTCGTCGGTTTGGTTTTCAGCATTTCTGGTCCAATATACCTCCCAACCGATTATCTGAATCTGTACCTGATCAAAACCCTTTACTTAAGCCGCCGATTACTCTTGAAGAGGAAAAAACAGATGAATATATCGCTTATAAGAATGACTTTATGTACTCTCTTATCCTTAAAGTCACATCCTAAAGATTAGTCAATCCCCTATATCAGAAATGAAATAACCTTTCAGTGCCTAAAGGAACCGTTGTACACTGTCGCCCACGTCTGTTTGCCTATCATCAACGCTCCAAACTTGACGAAACTGCTGGTCATAATAATTGTCTGACTTTGACAGCGAAAAAAAAAAAAAAAAAAAAAAAAGATCTACAGGGTAATAGGACATTACGCCGAGTCTGTCCTAATCCAAGGTCACTTAATGTCCATCTCCATGATAATGATTTCCCGCTTCCTTTGATGAATGGTATCATGTTGAAGATAGTTGGTGATGTTATTTTCACCACCATTAGCCACCTTCAAACTTTTCATCGTCTACCAATCCATGAATATGATCGCTTTTTAACTGCATTTGTGCACAATGGAAGGGTATATGTTTAAAAAGGTATTCCGCCTCAAGCCTTTATCTAGTCTGTTTCAACGCGACATGTTACATACCCTGAGGTGACCTTCCTTTTGTAATTAATTATATTGATGACAGTGTGATTTTGCCCAAAGGCCGTGAAAACCATGCTGAACACGTAAAGAAGCTCTGCGACCCTTGACTGATGCTCGTTTAATCGTAAATGAGGATAACTAGCTAAGGGGTTAACTTTTATTCATTTTTCTTCATATTTGTCATTAAAATACCAGAGGTTTATTTATATACATATTTATTTTTTCCTTGAGGTTTTGTTTTATCCAAAAGGGGACTATGGCTGTATTATAAGCGACTCGGCTTTCAGCCTTTCCCTGGGAAAAGTTTGCGCCATAACTACCTAGTCCTTTATCTAAATAGCTAATTTACATTGATATTTAGGAATACCTTTTTCTATGATGAAGATAAAGATCCTCATTCTTGTCTCGTTACATTTAAAGTCCATTACTAATTTATAGCAGGTTTGGTTCTAGTTACCACTGTAGAGGTCAACTTCTAATCTGGTTCCCACTATATCCTTCGGTTTGCCCCGAGTAGTCGTATTTATCATGAAACGTGCTCTTGACTGAAAAAAAAGCATAGTAGCATAATTCAAAGGTTCAAGCGACACGACTGTGTCCCTGTTTTTGAAAAGTATCAGATGTGTACAGTCACAAATATTTAATATTTACGTAATAAGAAACGGATGGTGGCAAAATCGTGTAACGGTTGGATTGACAGTGGCTGAAATGAAATATCAGTATAAAAGGAGCAGATCTGTTGGCATGGCCCTTTTCACTCTCTCTACATTAGTTCTCTCTACACTACCATACTCACTTTTAGTTCCCACCACCTAGAGTTCTTTTTTTCTTCCTTCCTTTGAAGGCCATACGACTGAATTTGATCCTTCCTTTCTCCTTCCTCACCAGTTCATTCACTTTTTGCCTGTGAACTACACTAATGGCAGACGAAATCACTCTCTTTTGCATTATTGATGGAAAATCCACAGCGTTTTCTGTGGACATTCTACCAACAAAGACCGTGGGCCATCTCAAACAGGCAATCAAGAAAAAGAAAGAAAACGCTCTTCAAGGCATTGATGCCAACAAACTCAATCTTTACCATGTCTCCATCCCTCCGCGCCGAAAAGACAAATCACGCTCAACAATCTAACAGTCGAAGAAAGGTCAAAAGAGCCAGAGGAGCTAGACGACCCGACAAGTGAGATTTCTGAAGTCTTTGGAACGGCACCATCAAAGAAAACTATTCATGTCATTGTTCAGCCTCCATCAGTAGGTAAGAAGTCGTTAAATTCTAACTGTCCTTGTTACTGTGGCATGCAAGCATTTAATGTCTAATGATCCATCTTCTTTATATTTGATTTTGCATATTGTGGTATAGATCCGTCCACTTCCGCTTTGTGTAAGGCTCATTTGTTTAACTGATTCTCTGCTTTTTTCAAAAGGTTATGATGGCGACGCGTCTAATTAATTAATTAAATAATTAATTAACTAGCTCCTGCAGTCTTACCTGCCGTTCAACCTGTACTCACGGCTTTTTCACCTTCTCCTCCAACAAGTCAAACGAGCTCTTCCTCCCGTAAGTAAGAAAAGAAGGAATGAGTCAGCATTACTGTTCATCAGACAGGCTAATTAATTAATTGCAACTAAGAGACTAATTACCTTAATT